GCATGTAAGTAAGTAAATACACAGGCGTTACAGATAATCGCTTATGTTCGAGAAAATTGGCCTAATAACTTAAGAATTAAATTGCTCTGAAAACTCGAGACACCGTTTCAGAGTTGGTATACACCTTTTAGACGATCTTTCACAATCTACCTACTTTCGCAGTCGCATAATTATCACGAGAGTACCGTTTCGTATCTCTTAAGAATTCTGTTGGCGTAACTACTACATATATATATCGATCAGAAAAAAAAATAAAAATTATCTCTCTCTTTAAAAATATATATATATATATCCAAAGGAATCTGTAATTTGATGTTATTATCAATCACACACAATTAAAAAGTGTGATTTAAAATAATTAATATTAATAAATTAATACAATTAAACGTGTATGTTAATCGTTTAATTTTTTCCTTCTCTTCGAAAGAATTACATCATTTTTAAGTCGTACTAATAACACAACAATACTATACTAATTTATAAATTGTATTTAAAACATACAAGTAACATGCCATTATATAGATACAAAACGAAATAAAAAAAGATATAAAAAACACGAATAAGTACAGATGTAATTATAAATTAAAATCATGTATCAAAGTGTAATTACTTATCATTATTTGTAAAGTCTAAGGGTAAGATTCTAAATTGTGAGAGTGCCATATCATTGTTTCCTTTAAAATATGTTTCACCGAAAATTGACGGGAATTGTTGTGCCCTGTAATAAGCTTAAAATAAAAAAAAACAAGAAAACTTAAACAAATAAAAAGGGAAAAAGAACACAAGCCCAGTCGTCGTGTTGGTTAAAAGCCATTAACGTTGCGTTCTTGACGCATCGAATGCATGCGTATCGCACGCGGGCGTATGAGTGCGTTATTATCTAATCTCTTCGGTGCCATTATACGTGGCTGCCGTAGTTACGTGTATTGGAATTCGCGCACATATATATTATTTCTTTCTCTTTCTCGTTCTTTCCTTCTTTAATTCTCTTTCTGTATTTCTTTTAGTAACTTGCTTACTTGCTCGCTTGCTTACCATGGCTCGATCCGCCATCCGCCATCCGAAAGAAAAACGATCGTGTCGCGTCGCCTGCCGATATTTAATTTATGACAGCAATTAAATTATCGTGTAGGTCGCACCGATATATCGCGTGCATCGAGACGAAACAGTTCCTTTTTTTTATTTTTTTATTATTATTATGTTTTTTTATTTTTTATTTTTTTGCCCCCCTCCTCTTATTTTTCTCACTTCTATTTGTTTTTTAATTTTTTCTTTGACTGATTACGTTAATCATTATAATGCAATAACTGTGCGCGCGTGTATGTATGTGGGTGTGTATGCAGAAAAAAGAAGAGATAGGGAAAGATTCTCATATCGCGACCTCTAGCGTATAAGAATAAAAAATAAATCGAACATGGGCCGATCGAGGTGACATCTGTGAGAGAAGGTTGAACATCGAAATTAAAGATGTCCGATTCGATTGAAAATGCCGGCGATTATAAATGTCATACTAGAGTAATTCATTTTAATTTTATTAAGATTTCGATTAGTTCGTTATTTAAATATTCAGTCGATCTAGAAATTACGCGTCGACAGATAATTTATATTAGAATTGTTCAACCGTATCGCATTATATATATTTTTTTATCTATGCACGTAATATTATCTGCACGAATCTATTTCTCAAGCACATAACCTCTGATTTTACGTTTTACTCGGTGCACAATTTTCTTGTAATATATTTCAATAAAAATTTTTTACTTTCCCCTTTTTTTTCACTCTGTCATATCTACAATTGAAATATTTATATTCGTAGATATCATTCTGGCGCATTATAATATTTAAAAACGCTACTAACGTAAGTTAAAAGGAATAGAACGTTCCAAAATCGTGCGCCATTTTTAAATAGAATAAGAACCATTTTGTTTTACGAAAGTAAAAGGTTCTCACGTTCCTTTAATCTCTTTAAATGCAAACATAAACGCATAAATATATGAATATTATGTGATAAGATGATTAAATGATACGCCGGGGTGTAAAAAAAAAAACAAAGACAAAGAAAAAGGATAAAAAAAAAAATAGAAAAAGAATAGAGAATAAAGAGTAAAGAAAAAAACGAAACAAAAATAAAGAAAAAGGCAACGAGACATAAATCTAACATATCTAATCTTATCGTGGTCAACGTTGCTTAACAAACGTCGTCCCATACTTCGGCTTCGTAGTCATCCACCCTCACGGGAATGCGCGCGCGTGCATTCACGCCTTGCACATTGAATGTTTTCTCTCTGTATAAGCAAGTGATATTACAAACTCGAATCTATTACGTATTTACATGGAATAGAACGCAAGAACGTAGCCAGAGAAGTGATATCTTGAATTTTAGTGAGATACTCTGAATCTCCCTTTCTATACACAACTATAGTACTTTACGCGTATATCTATGTAAATACTATACTTATAAAAGCTGAGTCACACTCATATATACATATATATCTCTTAACGAGTTGATATTTCAGTAACTTTCAAAGATAATTCCAGAAGGTTTATTAAAAGATCACTGAAAACGCACATCCGCGTATTTTAATAACTTTACACACACAGAAATATTAAATTTTAATTATATATTTATAATAATTCTGAATTAAAATAAAAAAAAAATTAAATCATTAACACGATTTCATTTTTACCGAATTTTAAGTACACGCGCAATCCCTCCGCCCCCAAAATAATAACTATTAACAACAAGTATAAAAGAATAGTTAAAAGATTTAGAATAAATAATACTACAATAAAAGTAAGAAAGATAGAGATAAAAAGAGAGATGTAAAAAACATACAACATATATACATATGTAGATACTTGCTGCGCGCGTACACATATGAAACACAAGAGTTTTGGTCCCGCCTACACGATCCTTATTCGTGACCGCGATGGCCGCTTCTACGGTTCTTCAGGAGAACCCAGAAGAAGGTGGAGACGCGTCTGCGCCCTCTGTCCTTTTCTCCTCTCTTTCTCTTTCTCCCGCCCTTCCACCCTCTCCTAACTCACAATGTATCACTCTCTCTCTCTCTCTTTCTCTCTCTCTTTGCAACATCGTTTCTCTTTCGATTTCTCTCCCTTTCCTCTTTATTTCTTTATTTTACATTAGTTCCTTTTCTCTTTTTCTTTTCTTTTCTTTTCTTTTCTCTCCTGGCTCATCCACACTCGAGACTCGTCTTTATCCTCTTTCTCTCCTCCCCCTACCCCTTCCGACCCCATAGCCTTTCCACCCCTCCACCTCAGCAATATCACTCTCTATCCTTTTCTCTGCTGGTTATATACTTCTACTACTCTCGCGCGAGCCCATACGTTCGACACGGCCATAAATAACCAACCCTCGGCTCTTTGGAGGCCGGTTCCATCCATGGAACCCAGGGACCCACAGAGGGCCGACTAGTGGAACGTGCCGTGCCGTGCCGACTATGGCGGCACTCAGATTCTTTTTATTATTCTTATTCTTATATTTATTCTTATTCTTATTTTGCTTCTTCTTCCTTCTCAAGCTGTTGTCTTCTTCTTCTTCTTCTTCCTCTTCTTCTTCAGCGAAATCCGTATTCGAACAATGAATACCGTGGGCGGTACTCTAAGATTTTACATCGAATTTCTATACGCTAAAACACATTGCCATTTTATTTTGTCGAAAGTAAATATCGAAGAATTTTTCGCTTATATACCACACGCCGGATATCTTTAAAAGACAACACTCAAAATTTATTCCTATTTATTTCTACTGACAAATTTGATACGTTTTTTTTACGATCAAACGCGTTGATACACGATTTTCGGTTTCTTCAAATTCCGTTAATCCGATATCGAAATGAAATTAAAAACGCGAACCTTTTTTTTCTTATACAATTGCAATTGCAATTACGAACAATTTGATTCACTTATTGTCAAAATGATCAATCCTGTAATATTATTTACTTCTCGATTACTTTTCTTCGAATGATTACAACGATTGAATTACGAAAAAGAAAATGATTTAAAAATCTTATCAAACGGTGACAAAAGAAATACGAATCACGTTCGAGCCCTTATTAAATATTTGACACAATTTGAACAAGTTAAAAAAGAGAAACTAACTGGGACTTTCTTTAAATAATCAAATCGATGAGATTTCAACGAATCGCATGAAATACGGCAAATTACCCACGACGTTGATTTTTTTTTTTATTAAAGTTTTAGACCCCTCGAGAGACATCTTTGGTCCCATGAACAGCCCACGCCATTTCTCATCCTACGTTTGTACTCGGACACGACGGCAAGCATACGCGACCGCTTATCGGAGCTGTAAAGAGACCATTAGCATTATCTAGTATAGGTTGTACTATTAGTACTTCCATACTCTTACCCTCTGCCCGCACTACCCAAGCGACGTTTATCGAGTCGCATAATGGAAATCGCTTAGCGACTGTGAAAGGAAAGAAAAAACCCTCCCAAAAAAAGAAAAAAAAAAGAAAAGAAAAGAAAAAAAACATTACCAATGTTATTTAAGTTTCTTCGAGTGTGATAAATGTTAAAGGTAACGTGAACTTGGTATCTCTCTGATGATATACACCTCTAAGATTTGAAACGAATAATCTAAAGAAAACCTGAGCTGACGATTCTTAACAATTCACGATTATTAGTTTAACAATGAACGAATACACTGACATATATTCGAGTTTCATTTAAAAAAAAAGAAATTTGAAATAAACGAAAAATATTATTATACGTTTCATTATCATATCTAATAGATAAGATATAAGTAATTATTATTGTACTTATATTAGACTTTTTTTTTTCCTATTATATCGGTCATAAATTTATGCATTAATCTACGAACTAAACGTTCGTATATAATTCGTACTATACAAATATATCACACACACACGACATATTTATTTTTTCGTGACTTATCCCCACTCTATCGTATTATCTTATTAAGACTATTTTTATCTAGCAGATAAAAATATTCACAGATGCCGTGGTCGTAGCTCTTGGGAAGGATGTTCCACGGGGGCGGAAGTGGCGGGTACGGCGCAGGCTCTGACTATCAGCAACAGTCTCAGCAACAACAACAGCAACATGGACAACAACTGCAAGCCCCCGTTTACGTACCTTCGTCAAGACCAGCAATCCCTTCTGCAGCCACGGCAGCTCAATATCATTCCTTCGCTGGTTCTGCATCACCTGCGTGGTAAATTATACTTTTCCATATCCATTTTTTATATAAATCTTTAATCATTAATCGCACGATAATCGACACAGAGATATTCGAAATGAAACGTTAGTAAATAAGCACTCTAATGTAACCTTATATTACTTAAAAAATGATATATTTTTGTATGTTTTGAGTAGAAATTAATTTATATTTTGTGTTTAAAGTTGAATGAAATATAATTAATTTAAAGTATATCATAATTATATTGGCGAAAGTAATACCATAAATTTTCGCGTTATATAATTTCAGTGTAGTCAGTAAAGAAACATGGTTAAGAACTGCTAATACATGGTTAAAGTAGTTAGACATGGTTAAGTAACTCTGCTTAATAAGTATTATTAATTGAATGAATATATAATTATATAATTTACTAATTCGTAAAAATATAAATATAAATTTGATTTTATCTAAGGGAGAAAACAGCGTCCTGGCAACATGGCGTCGAAACATACGCTGCTCATCATGCATTGGCTGGTCACACGAGTGCTTCCAGTGCAACGATGGGTCCACACACGGGACATGCTCATCCTCATGCTGGCCACCCTCATACGGCACACCCTCATTCTACCCTTGCAGCGGCTGCACCATTTTATGCTCAGAACGTTGCGATGATGTCCTCATGGCGTGCTTATGATGGTGCCGGATTTCAACGTGCTTCGCCATATGGTACGTTAATATAATTTATTTTATTTCATTTCTACGTTTATATATATATCTTACGTTATCTTTTTTTCTTCAACATTCATTAACGCTAAATTTTCTATTTCATTTATGATCATCTAACGAACACTGCAATTTATAACTTCAGTAATTGTTATAAGAAAACATATATATACCTACATCGATTTATTTATACTTATATTTAATTTATTGGTATACAAATATGCACGGGAAAGAGGAGACCCTATCATCATACTATTTAAGGATATACTAACTTTTTCTCTTTTCAACCCCTTATATGTTATTCGTTCTAATCTCATAGGATATTTTCTTTATCTGAGAAGACCATAAAAGCATTAGACCAAGGATCATTGGCTTCTCTTCGTACTAGGATATAACCTATCGTACAAGTTTCAAGTTATACTATTTCTTAGAGAGTCTTCTTAAAACGTTACGAAAAGGAATCGATGTTTCCCGTCGCAACAACTTCCGTGCTTAAGTCGAACGAAACAAACGGCGCGACGGCACAGCACGGCACGTCACGGCATGGAAAAGAATTCAAGTTGAAAAATTGCATATCGTTTTCTCGAAGTAAACTCATCACAGAACATGGGCACAATACCGCGATAAATGAACGAAACTTTGACTCAAACTGCCCGTATATCCGCTGATAAGATATACGACAATGCTAACGTACTGTGTTGCTGATTAGTTTATCGAAAAGTTTTGGAAATTATCATCACGAGTAACACGAAAGAACTTTACCTGTTAAAATTTTTAAACGAGTAATCGTCCGTTCCTCAATGAACAATTTCGATAACCCGACATCTAATCGATGAATCATTCAATATTGTCTCTTCCTAATCATTTATTATCATCCTCTAACATACACTCGATTATTATTAAAAACAAAAAACTCATTAGATATCAACTCTCTCGAATACGAAGAATTCACTTCAGATAATAACAATATGCAACTTTAAACTCTTTCATGTATTTAAATATATATCTCATTTCTATTAAAAATTGTTTAATCTCATAGAATGAAATGTAATTTATATTTTAGAGAATAGAATGATTCTTCTTTTAATAATCCACGTTTGTTTCAATTGATTTTGAACGATCTTCCAAGAATTGAAGTACAAAACTCGATAATGCAACTTTCGTAACTGGGGTGTGTAATTTGGACGATTATTCAGAAAGAGTTTACAACTTGAAGATGAACATTGAGGAAAGAGAAAAGATTGCTTAGAGGTGGTTCGTGTGTAAAAGGGAAAACCAGTCTAAAAGAAAGACTGTCTTCTTTCTTTCTCCTCCTGTAGACGAGGTTGACGTCGGTTTACCATAGCACTCGGTAGGCCATGTGCGACGGATAAGTGATAGCGGTCTCTTTGAACCAACTTGGCCTCGAACGCCGCGGTCAAGTGTTTCACGTTGCTGAGGCTTTTCTCTTCGCCAGAAGAGACTGCGGCATCTACTGCGAGAGTAAAAGACCATCGGGCAAAAGCAGAAGCTTCTCTTCTCTTTCTCTTTTGCTTTTTATTTTTTTCTTTTCTTTTTTTTTATTTCTCTTTCCTTTGCTAGCTAATTCTTGCTAGCTAGCTAGCTAGCTGGTTCCATTCTGCTCTCAGGAGAGTGCACGAATCGACCGTAAATCGTTCGAAGTAGAAGCAGCAGCAGCACCACTCTTTTTCTTTCTTTCTTTCTCTTTCTCTTTTAAAGCTTGTCTATGTTTAGAGCACAGCACGTATCGCACCAGGTCGTAACTCGAAGCCAGATAAACGCGAATAGTCTTATCCTGGCTTTTCACCGAAGTACAAAGATTCCTCCCCCCTTCTAGGCTTTAAACACGATCCAGACTCTCATCTCCTTCGAATTAATTCGAAATTTTGTTCATGGTAAAATGATTCTTTTAAATGTGTTACCTTAAATTTTATTCTTCTAATCTTGTTAATGAACAAATGAAAAAAACAAAAATATATATATATCAATGTATAATTATTAATATGATATAGATTCATTTTAATTATTCTGTGTGTATTCTTTGAGATAATTTTGAATGAACATTTTAATACGAGAAAAAAATTATTCATTTGAATCAACAACTTTGATACTTTTTTTTTATTCTAGACACGGCGATGGACTTTCAATTTGGCGAGGGTCGAGAATGCGTCAATTGCGGAGCAATTTCCACGCCGTTATGGCGGAGGGACGGTACCGGTCATTATCTTTGTAACGCATGCGGGCTTTATCACAAGATGAACGGTATGAATCGACCGCTCATCAAACCATCAAAACGCCTGGTAAGTTCATCGGCAAACGAAAGTGCCGACCGATAATCTCACTTAAGTTTTTTCAAGTACCTAACAGTTAAATCATATTAATTATTAACGATTAAAACTAGAGATAATCTTTTTTCTTTGCTAATGAAATGTTATCAACAACGAGTAAAGTAATAACAAATGACAATAATTGAGATTATTTGAATTATTTTTTTATTCGAATAAAATAAAACAAAAATATATATATTTGTTTCTCTTTCATTTTCTTTTTCACGATGCAAACTCGATCTGGAATAGTTTTTGATTGCATTCAATTGATTTTGTGTACATATATATTTTTGTTATTATTTATATATTATAAACATTATTTTATATATATATCCATTTTTCTTTTTTAATCGTATAACAGTTGAATAATCTGATACGCCAACATACGTTACAAATGGGACAGATATCTGAATTTCAGACAGCAACGAGACGGCTAGGATTATGCTGCACAAATTGTGGTACACGAACAACTACATTGTGGAGGCGTAACAACGATGGTGAACCGGTGTGCAATGCATGCGGCTTGTATTTTAAATTACACGGTGTTAACAGACCATTGGCAATGCGGAAGGATGGAATACAAACGCGTAAAAGAAAACCGAAAAAGACACCAGAACCAAATGCTAGATCGAATACGACGGAACACGAAACTACAGCGTCTAGCACGTCATCACCTTCGATGGGTTAGTTTTATTATAATCTCTCAAGAATTTTTTTTTTTCTAACAAATGTGTGAATTTTCTTTGGAATAAAAAGACCAAAAAAAGCACAATTGTGATCACGATTGTGTTAACAGATCCTAAAAGTAGTCAGCAGCAGCAACAACAACAACAACAACAGCAACAGCAACAACAACAACAACAGCAACAGCATCAAATCGATGTGTCCAAATCATCGAGTTCCTCAACGCCAACTGAAAGGCCTGTATACCTTGGGCACACGTCCCTATTAGCAACCGGAAGTGTACCTGCCGTGAAAACGGAACCTCGAAGTTGCGACGGGATCGTAGGCCAACCGTATTCATCTTATTATCAACATCCACATCAATTAAACGTGCCAACGAGCGAACATCAGCAACAAAGTTACTATGGAACACAAGAGGCACCATATCATCATCAACATCATGTTACAGCTGCTGCTAAGCTTCTAGCATCGTCGTAATTTCAATCCTTCGTAAAAGATTTGAAATAACCATCGCGATGGATATATATACGTAAAATAAATGAACTATCTCTTACATTAGATGATCCCGAAGGAAATGATATATAAATCATCGATACGAGAAAATTCTATTCGTGAGTTTTTTCTTTTTCTTTTTATTTTTTTTTTTGTCTGAAAGTGCAATCCAAGCTAAATAAACTGCTTTACTTAGAAGAACGTGATCGAAGAATATAAAAGAAAAAAAAACATTATAAATAAGTAAATAAAAATTTAAAAATATTATACGATACAAAAAAGAATAATTAATGAATATGCATCTACATAAGTATATAATTATATATGATATATATATAATAATACTTACTATACGTGACTATATCGCGTGACAACGGAAATGAAGATTCGAAGGATAACTCTCGATCGAATTATAATGCGAGAATGTAATGAGAATAACCTTGGATCTCTAGTCAACGATTGAGAACGACAGATTGAACGAAGACGATCTTTTCGAAATTTAATTAACGAAAATCATTTCTAACTCTGTTTCGATAGATTGTTAAAGAAAGGAATTACATGAACATTAGACTTATCATTACGTATAACACATTTACATGCATACGTACGAACACATTACATACGCGTACACGAATTATCTATATTTTAGTCGACTATTCGATATTTCTATATGACACACACACATTGTACACGATCATCCTCCTTACGATAGTTAGACAGAAAAAAAAAAATTACAAAAGAAAAAAAAGAAAAAAAATAATAAAATAAAAAATGCTTTCATTGTGTAAATAGCTCATTTTTATCTCTAACGAATGATTAAAATTTAAAATCGTGTGTGCGTAAAATTCGTTTCAATTAGAACTACGATTATTATTATTACTACGATCTATTCTTGCCATTCGAGATCTTAGATTTTAATAATATAACGAATAACTCACACGATGAGTACTTAATTATTTGTAAATATCATTCGTGCTAAGGGTGCATATCACAGCTTCAGAATTATTCGGAGGCTTATTCGATACTTTATATATATACACAAAATCTTTTTTAGTGACTTCACAATATGCATTATCAATTTATAACAATAATCTCTCGTTCGTGTAAGCAATTAAAAAAATAAAAAAAGAATGATTGTGTGTACGAGTGTGTACGAATGTATGTATAAAAGAAAGAAAGAAAGAAAGAAAGAGAGAGAAAGAGAGAGAGAGAGAGAGAAACAGAGAGAGAGAGAGAAAGAGAGAGAGAGAGAGAAAGAAAATGAAGCGGACGTAAAAGTCATCCCAACTAATTTATTGACTCATAGTCCAAAGGTTGCCTCACTTTTCCTTGTAAGCTGTAAAATTATAAGCGTAATGGAAGTCTGAATTATAATTGTGCACAGTTCCTGTATAATTGTTTCTTCCTTTTTATTTTTTCTTCTTCTTCTTCTTCTTCTTTTATTATTATTATTATTATTATTATTATTATTATTAATATTAATATTATTACTCTACTATTATATAATATTATTATAATTATTATAATTATTTTATTTTATTTTCCTTTTTGTCTTCTGCGAGATACGAAGCAATAAAAAGAGAAGCTTCTGACGTCATACGAAAAGACGAGTGTTATTTTTACCCTCGTCTAAGGGCAAGAAAGAAGAACGCATTACACACACTCACACATGCATACACACACATCGGATAGTGATGATTTTTCTACACCTAGTTTCACATTGATAGAAAAAAAAGAAAAAAGAAGGAAAGAAGGAAAGAAAGAAAGAAAGAAAGATTTCAAGGCAGAATGATCGTGTCATTCGGTAAGAAGATCAAATATTGTCGCACGGCGTTCTGACATTCGAACGACGTGTCGAGCAAACAAAAAGCCTTTCCACGTGACCACCACCCTCTACCACCTTCCCTTTTTCATCCCCCTTCTTTCTTTTATATCAATCGTGAAACAACTTGGTCGTTTGTACATCAACCGATCAGAGTTCACTTCGGTCACTCGAACTGGTTAGACATATTATTATTGTCTTTCAATACTCTAATCTTTTCCTCTTCAAAATTCCTCTTTCACAATTATTATAATAGATATTTTTATAATATAAAGAGAGAATTGATTTATTTGTGAAATTTTTAAAGATCCCCCAACATCTGATAATATGGGTAAGTTTTGTGTGATAATAAATATATTTTTTTTTTTAGTTTCTTTTGAGTGTGTGATTTTCTTTTCGAATTTCTTTATTTCTATTTCTATGACATGTGATAATACTCGTGTCATTTTTTTCTTTTCATCTCTTCTCGTCACTTCTTTTAAATGGAAAAAAAAAAAATAAAAAAAAAAAAAAACAGAAAGAAATGTCATTGCAAATTTTAATTAGAATTCTATTAGATAAAAACGATATAATAACTATTAATTATATCTTAACACTTGTATTATACTTGTTCAAGATAAAATGTGTGATAATACAAGGATAAAACTTCTAGAGTATATTGTTTCCAAGGATATATACATTTTTAAATAAATAGTCATACGTTTATCGGTTTCTCTTACGTAGGAAGAACATTACCCACGCCCGTTGCTTGCAAAGTTTGCGGTGATCGTTCTTATGGGAAACATTATGGTGTTTATTGCTGCGATGGTTGTTCGTGTTTCTTCAAAAGATCCGTTCGTCGTGGTACACTCTTCACTTGTATCGGTCAGCTATTTTATATTATCCTTATTATCGAAATATCATAATTCGATATAAATTAATTGAAAATGCTTATGGATAAATAGTTTCTACGACGACAACAACAAAACAGAAATTAACTGTTTTGTTTTTCAGAAATATATATTCGAAAAAATAACAATTTGCTAAAACCTTATCTTTAGAGTATAGATAAGACAATTCAAGAATTAGTTGAAACGCATATTTTACTTCATTTTCTTGTGGAGTAACAATAAACAATAAAGATAATGGCGTGTTCGCAGCGAGTACGGGAACTTGTGCTGTTGATAAAACGCGAAGGAATTGGTGCCCACACTGTCGATTGAAGAAATGCTTTTCCGTCGGCATGAACACGGCAGGTAAATACAATTTATCAATCTTTTTAAATAACCTAATTTATACAAAAATATATATATTTTATATATATTCTTCGATGAGTAATAAATATTTTTTTTTACTAATATTAAACTATAAGTTTGATTTTTAATTTTGATGACCATTGTTATACTTTCTTGCAAAAATATAAATAATCGATTTACAAAAGAAATACTAATTGTCTTTTTTAAATAAACTTGACAAATTTTATTTGAATATTTAATTAATTTCATATGCTATTAAATAACATAAATTTAATTAAATCGGTTCAAAGTTGAACTACTATAAACATACCAAATCCCTAAAAAGAATCAGAATTCTCAGGCTTCGGACAGGTGATAACGAATTGAACGAGATGCAAACAAGGGACGCGTGTCAGTGTTGTTAACACGTGCTGACACTTCCGTGACTAGTAATGGTAAATTTGTTACGGTACGTTTAATCAACGATTGACTTGCAAAGCTACAATTTTCTTCCCATGTAAATTAATCTTACTATACTAGCAACAAAAAATTCATTGTGAATCATGATTACATTTATAAAATATAAATAAATAAATAAATAATAAATAAATCGGCTAAATTGTACAACAATGTAGGTAAACACTTTTCAAAAATATCGTCACACACACAATGCTAACTGATTAAAAATTATTTATACTTATTAAAAATATTAAATGTTCAAATTATTGCATTTGTTTGATACACTGACATAAATATGATTTACGATCAAATGTGAATTAATTAATATTTAAATTATTTTGAAAAGTCTAATCCATAATATACTTAAAGATCCAAGAAAGTAATAAAAGTATATAAAATTTTTCTAAAAAATGAAATTTGTAAAATTAATTGTTGAATAATATCTATTAAAAAAAATTTTGCGAGAAGGTAAAAGTTCCAAGAAAGTGAATTATCGATCGTAACGAACGTTCCCAAGTGATATTTCGGTAAATAAAACTACGACAGCTCAGAGAAACCACAATGGACAATCAAATTACATCAAGTATCGTAGTCACAACTCGTGGATGAACCAAGTTTATTTACCTTTTGACGGACAGCTTAAGGGTGTCTTCACGAACCCCACACGATTATATCTCTGAATAGAAAATGTAGTTCTTCGAAGATTAGAAGATTTATATTTCATTAAAAAATCAAAGTCAAAATTAGAAATTTAATAATCGCGAACGAATGAAAATTATTTTGCAGTCATTAAAGGAAAGATAAAAAAACGTAATAGTAATAATAATTCAAAAAAATATTAGTTTTTTTTCCATGTGTGTTAATCCAAAGTTTTTTTTTTCTAAATAATTCACGAATTTAAAAAAACGATGAGAAGAAATAAAATTTGTTCTAGCCGTTCAAGAGGAGAGAGGACCACGTATACGAAATCGAACAATTTCATCATCGAACAACAACTCTGACGCTATTTGGAAATCGAAAAACAATGCAAATGACTCTTGTAAAAGACATTTGAATACGTTTGAAATTCCACTAATATTTAAAACGAACACGATGAGTACATCCATAAAATCGTTTTACGAGCCACGAAGAGACAACGAAGCATTGCTTCCTGCAATCCTACGACACGTGCAATCTCCGAGAATCATTGCACCTGGTAATTGAACAGAAAAATATTTTCATGGCGTTGCAATAAATTAACGATAAAAATAATAACTGAGTTAAATCTTTATAATGCTTATGGGATTTCAATTTGCAAACGTTCTATGTTCATTTTCTCTCTCTATTAAATATTCATATATAATAATTAAAAAATAGTACGTCACAAAAATGTATATTGATCGACGTATAGATAACATTTTATTTTAAATATTAATTAATATTAATTAATATAATAATTAATATTTATTAATATAATATATATATATACATTATATTTGTATACATATAGTATATATGTATACATATATACATTTAAAATTATAAATGAAAAAAAGAAAAAAAAGAAAAGAAAAAATTATTTTTTCAGGTGATGCCATTCGGTATGAAATATCGGCGCAAATATTTCTCGCTACGATACGTGGTGCTCGACGACACCGTGATTTTTCGATGCTCGATATCGAAGAACAAAATATAATTCTTCGAAAAACATGGTCAGCGGTGTTCGTTTTACGTGCAGCTACTTGGCCCTTCGATCTGACGAATCTTGGTACTACAAATGCAACAGGAAACGAAAATGCTTTCGCTTCTTTACAATCAGCACGTAATACAATTTCCAATTTGCGTCTAGATGATACTGAACTCTCCATTTTGGAGACCTTCGTTTTATGTCGACCCGGTAAACGTAAAAGAATTATTTTGTTGTTGTTGTTGTTGTAATAACAATCGTAAAGATAATTAAAAAATTCGATATTTGTTCTTCTGAATTATTTATGAAATTAAATTTATTATATACAATAAAATTAATTGCATTGATTAGCTTAATGCTATTTAAAAAGGATTTCGACAAAAAATTACGATTTTTAACGAAGAAAAGAGAAGTAATTAAAAATTGTTATTAATATCCATTCGTTACAGATTATTATTTAAATAACGATCTTTCTATTAAATACAGAAATCGCTCGAACTTCGGATGGTGTTCGATTAATAATGAAAGCGAGGGAATCAGCAGTGGATACTTTCATCAGTCATCTTCGAAAACAAGGCGATCATGGTCATAGATTGACACAAATTATGTTTCTATTACCTATCCTTACTAGTTGCTGTCCCGGAGAATTATCTAATGACTTATTCGCACCTATAATTGGTAATATAGATCTCGAAAGAGTTATAGCATCGATACGATAATCGATAAAATGATTCTAATTGAATTCAAACGTAGAAAATAATTTCAATATTTGATTGATGTTCTACATTTTATCAATCTTAGTTTATTTATTTATTCTTCGATAAATTTATATACGTATGTATGTATGTATGTGTGTATATTGATTATTATATTTGCTTGGAGTATCTGATAAATAAATGAAATATCTATAAACTTTTGTGTTGTACACAAAAAAATAATAAATTTCTTTTCAACAGATTTTTATCTCTGAAAACAAAGAAAATATATACAATTAATAAAATGCACTTGAATTTTTCTTTGGCACTTTATTAATTCAAAATAACAGTGTGCAAAATGTTATGTACAAAATTTTTTAAATTATATGGCGTAGAAAGAGAATACCTACGACTTTCACAAAGATGAAAATATGAAATTAATATTTAATCCAATCTCGCATATTGTATATTAAATTAATATTAATATATTTATATCTATATGTGTAATAAGTAAAAATAATTAAAAGAAATAAATTGAAATGAATCTCTAATTAATTATTCGATTGTTATATTCAATAAATTCTGAAAATAATTTCTATTAGTATAAAAAAACAATTAAAATAAATTATATACGTATAATAAAGAAATCATCTGTCACTTTTGCATGGGACTGAGACATTCACTTGCAACACAATAAAATAATTATATAATAAATATTAATCATATACAAGAAAAGAACTTAGGGTTAGAAAATTATAGCACATATTAATAACTTATTGTACCGACCGTAATTAATTCAATATTCAACTAATGAGTAATCCTTACTTCACAGGTAAAAATTATTGTCGACTTTAAATATAAAAAAAACATAGAAAAAAAATATAACAATATATATTGACAAAAATGTGTTAGCCGACTCTACCTATTACTCAATTTTATTTAACACATAATCATCTAAGTAATATTAAACAATACTTAATGGAAAAGATTTAACTTTAGTGATTAATACTAGCAAATAAATTAATCACGGACATAATTACGATCACATATACAATACAACGTTAGATCTACTCTATCGTAACAAAAAATAGAAAGTTTTTTAACCACTATATTAGACTCCTACAAGACAGATTTGAAAAAACATTTCTCACAAACCAAGAGAATAAAATTAACATTATCTCTTTCACTCTCTTGAACTATTGCACGATTAAATGTGTAAACTAAACGAATTACTGCACTTGATCTCAAACGAACTTTGAATAAATAAAATACGTCAGACTAATGCAGGAATGATCATCAAAAATATGAGGTATATCAAAAAAAAACCTTTTAACAAAAAGGATTTGAAAGCGACCCTCCCTTTCAAATGGTATTTCACTACAGCTTAGTCTTTAAAAAATACAAATTTAATCTAAAAATCCTATTAGAAAAATTAAGAGGCACCAAAGGTATTATTATACTTCTCTATACTTCATCTACAAATCGATACAACAGTACGATACTTAGTCTGCCAATTATTGTCCTCAATAATACTTCTTTTTGTATTTGCGATATTTTTCTTCTTCAGACTGTCTGCGCATCTGATTTAGTAGAGCAGTTGGTACATACCATAATTTGTCCGAATTAATAAGTAATGCTTCTGTTACCCTACAACATATGGCAGCCATATTAACTTGAGCATTTAAATCAGAACGATCACTAGGATGCACGTAACGTGGTGGAAATAGTGATGGTGCTACTATCATTGCCACGTTATGTATTGACATCTTATTAGAATTCTGATTATCTATAACCAATTTCAAAAAGGTTAACAATGCTTTTAATGTACATTTATGCTCTGTTGGTAGAAGTAGCACCAATAAGTTTAATGAATATGATAAATCGCTAGGATTTTTTATTTCTAAAAAAAGAAAATGAAAATTGTATAGCATTATTAAATGTTATTATAAACTTAATATCGTTGATATATTATTATTAAATTATTTTACCATGAATTTGGTAAAAAGCATCCATAAGTTCCACTGTAAGAAGCGGTTGGGGTAAGTCACGTAATAATTTTTTAAGAATAGCTGACAAATCATGACATGGTATACGTTTAAATAACTTATCAATTTCCTTTGGCTTGCTATAAAAATCTGTTTCTAATTCTGTACATATTAGCTCAACCTAAAAGCAACAAAGTTATGAAGGCATTAATACAAATAAAAAACACTATTTTATTTATTAATATTAATACCTTCTGTTTATGACCACCAACTCTAAGAATGCCTTCTTCCTTAACTCCACGCTTGGATAATTCGTTGAGAACTTTTTGAAATACTAAAGGAATGTTACTTTCTTCGTTTGTTAACTGGCTATCCCTGAGTAATAAAGTTGACAACGATACACCAAATAAATTACCAGCTAAAAATATGAATGATTTATACAAAATATATATATATAGAGTAATATAATATTATTCTATAAATTAAAATTTCAATAACAATGCGAACCTTTTCTCCTACGTTTGTTTGGTTTACGCTTTTTAAGAGGTACATTATATTTATCAAAAACTGCGGTAAGTTCAAGCCACAAAAGTGGCTGCAATCGTGTAAAGTCACGTTGAGATAACGATTCTATACGTTGTCGAGGAAAACCATCATCAGTTGGAAGATTTTCTGTCACCCATAATTGTGACTTTGTTTCATTTGTCCTGCACATTTGTTCAAAACTCAAATGACCATGTGATGAAGTACGGTTTAATGGATGAGATAATAAATTCTCATCTTTAGAGGGTGATAAACCATATAAACTACTATGACTCCTAGAAACAGTTGCATGACTGCCTGAAGCTCTTCTAAACAAGAAAAAATATAAATGCAAAGATAAAATAATGCATGCAGAAAAAAACTATTTAACTGCACATTTAAAGCTCTACATATTAAAGAAAATTACCGCAATGTCGAATCTTTAGAAACTGTTAATTTTCCAATATTTTCGATATCTAAATTTTCTGTATTTGCTACTTCACTAGGGTCGCTACCACTACGTTTTTGAATAGGTGGTCTAGAAAGATGTATTGTTCCTAATCTGTGATAGCCAGTCAGCTGAATACCTTCTGCAAGTACATGCAGTATTTTAAATGAATTGACCAAAATTCATGCAACAAACAAAGCTGTTAAAGAAAAATTAATTTTAATATACCAGAATCATTAGCAACATCTCCTCGAGAAGAGTGACCGGTACGCCTAAAGATTTCTTGAACATGAACTGGAGCATTTGTTACAGAATTTGTATTTGTTGATGGTGCACTTGGTGTTCTTCGAACAGTCTCCTTTCCTTCATTTGAAGAACGATGAAATATTGATACAAAACTAGGAATGTTACCACTAAAAATACCCATAACTTATATTACATTTAATATTCACTATTTATCATGATATTAGGTTAATGATAATTAACCTTGTTTGATGATCAATTACAGTTATAGATGGTTGCGAAGGAGGTGAAGCATTTTCTGGTGTTTCACCCGGAATAGAATCTAACGAATCAGGTGTAGCACTTCTTGATCTTGTACCTGTACTGGAAATCTATTCAAACAAATTCTTTTGTACGATGATCTAAATATAACAATTATTAAGAATCTTTAAATAAATAAAAAAAAAACTGCAAACCTCTACATCTTTGAACACATCCCTAATGTCTGGTTTCCTTACACGTTGTCGTTGATTGAAACGCTGTTTAACAGTATGATTGAGAGATTTAACTCTTCTCTTTACAGCTTCTGCTTGCGCTCTTGAAAGAGGACGCAAAGCAGCTCCTAATTCTTCTGGTTGAACTTCTCTACCCGCTTTCCATGCTTCTGTTAATTCTCCTAACCCTGCAGCACGAAGCCATTCCGCTTCCTCTTCACCATCTTAAGATTTACAATACATTAAAAACAAAATCTTTATTGAATAATATACTATATTAATTCTGACGATATCCAATGTGTTAATATAACATACCATCATAAGTTCGTGGATATTCTTCATCGAGATAATCATCTAACATTTTAGTTTCCTCAATCATTTTCTGGTATTCTTCCCAGTAATCTAATAAATGGGAATCTACCCCGATATAAGTAGCACTTTGTACTTTATCCATGATTTATTTATTTTCACTCTTTTGCTATATTTTATATTCAATATAAATATATGTAAAAAAGAAAGTACAAAATATATTTAAAAGTTTCCTCCACTTTTCATTTTCAACATCTGAAAAAAATGATGAACTTAATTATCTACCTTTTGCGTTATTAATATTCACACACTTCAAGCAATCAAAGTATGATTAATTACAAATAATAATAGATATCATTAATCCAAACTAAATGACAGAAAGAAACTATTAACACACATGAAAAGACAATTCCATTTTTGAAATAACCATTTGAAAGGAAAAGATCTGATAATAAAAAAAAAACGTAGTTGTAAAGCGTAAAAAAGAAGCATTAACTGACGTGACACGTTCTCCCATTGATTATTCATATTGAATGTAAACACAGATGAATTATACAATTAACCAAGGCCACTCTTTTCCTTATAATACAGATAAAATTCTAAAAAGCTTATTTTAACCATACTCTATAAAAAATAATAAATGATCAAACGAAATAAAATTTCGTTGAATTTATAAAATAAAGACAATCAATATAAACACATACATGACAATAAATGCAACGGTTATTATCAACCGCCTTTAAACATTCACTTTAAAAAAATATAAAAAAGTGATGAGGCATAACATAGCCTTGACGTCGTACTGTTATATTCGTATGACAATATGTTCGTGCATAGAGTACGTACGTATGATTTGAAATAAGATTCCCTCTGCCGGTATTTCGAGGATGCAAAAATAGTCATCTTATTCCGGGAAAATAAAATTTCACATTGGCCGCCTACGATATACTACTGTACTGACGCGCTAAATGATAAATAGAAAATCGTCATTATCAGATATTTTCAATAAGAAAGGTAGTATCTATCTAAAGATACTATGAGTAACATTTAACAACTAAACGTCCGTGAAACTTTTAACGTAAGCGCTAACAATTTCTCGAGGCTATCTACTTCTTGGAAATTGTAATTTATTCGAAACGCGTCTTTGAATTACGCCCAATGCCAATGCTACGAAAATCACTGGACTTATCGCTGTGAAGACGACATAATGATGCGTGAAACTTTTAACACGAATACAAATATTTGTCACTTTTCAAATACCCACTCAGTTGAAAATAATCGTTCAATACTAAATTATATAGAGATATTTCAAAACTATCGATCGAAGGATCATTTTTAACTAAACGATAATGCGAAATCTAGCGTTTTCTATTTGTACTTTAATGCACAGACGGATGTACTTCTAATTTCAACACACCGGAAATAGCTATTAAAATGTGAGAGATTGTTGAGAATTGAGAAAGAATTCTAACATTTTCCCACAGAAATGTTCATCCTATTCAAGTTAATTTCATTAATTATTGAATCCAAGTATAAATGTATTACTTGTTTCTTTATTTTTTACGTATCATTTGTTTCACAAGAAATATCTATTCGAATAAATAATCACACATTCTCTTAGGTATAAGAGATCAATTAAAAATCAAATGACTGATTTCTACATCTATAGGTATTAGATACTTTTTTATTCATGTTTTTAATTATATATATACTTATTCTAAACTTATCAAACCGTAGGAACGCTGGCAAGGAACCATAATAGCAGGAAAAAATGAATAAATGCTCTTAATTGCACACTATTTGCTCAGTCAAAATACATAATTTCTCACTTTATTATAATTAATTATTTAATTAGTTATTCATAATTATAAAAACAAATACGTTTTTTCTCATATTTCTAAGCAAAGCAATAAAGTTTTCTATTGTTTTTTGTTTTCAATCAATTGCTGACTATTTGTTTATCCGATTTTCTCCGGTTTTTCTAGTTCCAATATGATATAGGTTTTTTTTTAAATCTAGTAACTCTTTTCTTCTGTACCTATTCCAAGATAATCGTTCTTAACGAGTAAACTCCTTTTTAATTAATAATTAAAACAAAATATCAATATTAAATTTCTAATTGTTGTTTGCTTTTAAATGCATATAGAATTTAATTACAAATTCACTTTGTGTACACAAATTGCTATTAAAAGTTACTAGGGGAGATAAGGAAGTTTAAAATATATTGAAATTCTAGTAACATGGTTAAACATTATATCGGTAATAGTAGTACTCTACCTTTATAACTCACTATAGAATTAAGATCCCATAGAAAACTTACGGCAGTAAGAAACTAATATGTGCAACTTATGGCTCACTAACATATCATTGTTAATCCATAATTGTTTGTTTTAAATATTAATTATTTTACAAGTTATTGATAATTAAAAAAGTACTAATTTTAACCCATTACGCGAATGAAAAGCCTTACTGCCGTAGGTTTTCTATGCTGTCTTAATTCTGTAGTAAGTTATAAAGGTAGAGCACTACTATTACCGATATGATACTTAGCCATGTTACTAGAATTTCAATATATTTTAAACTTCCTTATCTCCTAGTAACTTTTAATAGCAAGTAGTCTATACAAAATGAATTTGTAATTAAATTCTATATACATTTAAAAACAAACAATAATGAGAAATTCTTCTTGAATTAATTAAAATATCAATAAAATTAATGCAGCGCTGATCAGTTCGACAATAACGTTTATTATAATTTTGTTATACGCAAATAATATCGATTAGCAGAATTTAATTGCATAAAGATTGCTGCGTACGATGATCCACGATTCAATATAGTATGATTACTAATTCCAAAGGAAAAGAAACTTTATTGACATTTTATTGGCAATAAAAAGTTGATTTTTGTGTCTGGACTGCATTTAACGAAGGTCATTTATGCACGCGATTAAAACACAAATTGAAAATTTAATATGTAATACTTAAACATTATAAACATAGTTGATGAATACGACGTGAAAATAATATAAATTAAGAAACTTATTAGAAATCATTCTATACGATAGCTGTATTTTTCTCGTATGTAAAACAATGCATATTAACATTATTTTATCATCGGAGAATTATTTATTATCGTATGACGATCGGTTGAAAAATGTTTACCCTCAACAAGAACAAAAATTTACTTCTGTTTTTTTAAATAAAAGTGAATTTGTACGAAAAAATATTATTTCTATGTTAGGCTCACAAAATTTGTAAATTCACCCACGTATATTTATTTTGTGATCAATTAAATTTTTTTACCAAGATATTTATATCTATTATTTTACACGCGATTTATTTAAAGAATACAAAGCCTATCCTATGTCGAAGCAACCATATGATGAAATTTACAAAGTAATGTTAATTCAATAAGCGTAGTATCTAAGGTTGAGGCTGAAATACGTCAGCACATGTGATATAATCTTTCAAACATATTTTAATACTCATAATATTTATATATAATTTATATATATAATTTATTAAAAAATGAAATATTAAATAAAATAATTTTTGATTATATATCTGTGATATTAGAATATTTCTTTTTACCTTACGCATTAACTATATACAAAAAAATTATTTACCATTCACACACACACACAGACACAATTATTTATTATATACAAATAAAAATTAAAAATATATGTTTAAAGGATTATATATATATTTCTTTATGTCATACATTATCATTAATAATGTCAATTCTTGGAACTTAGCAGAAAAATTCCAGGTTGCTACGACACGTATTCTAATTGTCTCTTTCATTAGCAAGTATTTAGTTCTGTGGATGAAAATTTTCCACTTTCAAATACAGGAAGTATATACTTGCGAATAACACTCAAATAGATAAAAGTGGGGATAGTGTTAATAATGAATCTTTTCGCGCCTATAAAAGTGCTAGCAGAAGGAATAATCATTTAGTCAAAATGTTATACACCAGTGAAAAATATAGTCAGCCCTTTGTGGCTCCAATCCGATTGTTTTCTATATTGATCATTTTTGTGTGCTTGTCGACTGAAATAATCACTATACCAACGCCTACGCAAGAATATTCAAATTATACTACAGAAAATTTAACTGCATTGGCAGAAAATACGACGAATGATGACTTGTAAGTCAACGTTTTAAAATTATATATATAAGAGTTATAGTGATAAATAAAATAATATTAATTATAAATATTTAATAATAAAATGATAATATATGTGTAATATTAATATTTTAGATATATTATAAGAGCAGTAGTATACGAAATTGGAGTTTTAACGGATACTGATAACAGCACTGATGACAATCCAGAAAGGTAATATAAGTATAAATAATAAATATATATATAAACATAATTCTTTAAAGATCGTCCTTTAATTTTTTCGATTTTTTATTTAATTGTAAAATATCTGTTCGTAGCATTATAAAATTATGACAATAATTAATAACTTTTTCATTATTACTTTTTCAGACGCGAAGAAGTTAACATTTCAATTTACAATCCACCACATCAAGATAATGGCTTGTTAGATTTGGACAAAGTCCCAATATCAACTGAAAATACTTTGAGTACAGAACAAAGTAACGAAGAAACATAATATAATAATATGATAGAAAATAATTTCCATTAATATAATATGCATTAAAATGAAAGAGACTAATCGTTTCTCAATGCATATACATGCATATATATATTTATTTATTTATACTTATTTATAAATACTCCTTAACAATGTATTGTTTCTTTTTCGTTCGCTCACAAATTCGATTTGTTTGATTAGTTCAGAAAACGATTTCGAAAAGGACAATGGATAGATAATATATTCCAAGCTTTTTAACAACAATGGACATTTTTATCGATCATTTACCAATTATTTTAATATTTTAATACACTCTATTTGTATTGCAGATTGTTTAAACATATATGTACTAATATAAGCATTCCATACTCTCTTATTAAAATACTTTAAATAATAAATAATTTTGATCTGATATTCTTTTCGATGAAAATTTCCCCAACCGAAGTCACCACTACACAGGAACGTTGCAACAAATGTACAGTAGTATAAACAATTACATAAAAACGAAAAAATGCTGAAATTAGATCGTTGAAATCTTAAATTTTATTGATTCGATGAATTATACCATTTTTACACATGCACAACGTTTGGGAAGTCATATAAACAATATTTAATAAAAGTATTTACATAGAAGACAAAGGCTCATTTCAACGGCAGATTTCAGATGCTATTAACAATATTGCTATCTGTGAACAGAATCGGTGAAAACCAACAGCCACCAGTGAAAATGTCCTGACAATAAATGCATAATTGACATACTAAACCAAAAATTTGTTCACACAAACACATACATTCATACATTCATACATTTAGGCAGAAAAACCAACACCGCGACTACTACGAGAACACAAACTAGAAACAGTGGAATAGAATCTTGCCAATATCGATGAACCTAAAACAAAAATTAATTTTATATTACTACGCGTATAACTTATACGTAATTTTTATTAATATATTTTTATGTCCTAAATGATTGTGCATTACAAACCTTGGGATATTATTGCAGACATTGTTGTAAATATCTATTGATAAAATGGTATTTTGCGATATGAAACCTTACTGCTTGAAAATACAGTATTTTCTATAACAAAAAACTAGATGAAAAGGGCATGTGTGGGAAAATAAAATTCGATGTATGATCCACGATCAAAACTTTTTAATTGAATTATTTAGTAAATAATGAAATTTAAAAAAAAAAAAACAATTTAAATGACCAAAAAGTGGACATTACAAAATACCGAATTCTCGATGCATTAGAAAATATATTTTTCTATATTTAAACACAAGTGAATATGAAAAAATGCATGTCTTCGATGCATGCTTTTTTCAATATACAAATATATGAATAGAAAAATGTTTCTATTTCATACAAAAATTATTAAACGATTAATACAATTACAAATACACATAGGAAAATGATTCAAGACACATTATAAAAATCTTAATCAATTGTGAATATATCACAATATTTAAAAATTAATAAACACCGCTTTAAAAAGAAAAAAAAATAAACAATATTGCACCTTGCGTCGTATTACAAAATGCATACGCAATTATGCATATCGCCATAATAATAACCTTAACGAGATCAAATCTATGTTTGATCGATAGAGTACATATAAATCTTTTATTTAATTACACTTATATTAACGCGAAGTATGCAGTTACATCGACGAATGTCTGATGTACATATTACACCACTTAAATATATACAAGACACTTTTTTATTTTTAGTAAACTATAAAAAAATAAAAAATAGTAATACAATTTCACAATTATCGAAGCACGTATTTTAAATAAATATGAATTCAAATATATACAATGCAATATGGAATCTTAAAGGAAGAAGAAAAAATTGA